AGAAGGGGTTGGTCTTGCTACCTCAGAGATAGCAGAAGTAAAAAGAAATCCACATATAAGGGGACCTGCAGAGTTTAACCACATGTTGTTCAATGATCAACTGTATTAGCAAACCTACTGAAGTTTCAAAGGCCTAAGACTTTTCATTGAAAGCACTTAAAGCAGGGACCGTTTTAGCTGTGTATTTTGAAAAAGTTGTGTGCTCTCCCAATAAAAAGCTACTTTGTTGTTACTTTTGGTCCCTAGGAGAAATGGGAGTCCTTTTCAGACAGCATGGGAGACACATGAGTCCTTCGGAGTCCTCTTGTCTACCTCTGAGGGTGCAATGAGGGTGTGAAGCACTTTGGGAGGTGTCCAGACACACAGGTAGGCTTGTGACAGAGCAGAGCTTCATCCTGGAGGTGTGCTCCTTGTCATCATGAGCCATGTCCGAACGAATTAATCACATTCCATATGCAAACATGTCCTCTGTTTGACTGTCTTGTTGTTTTAAATCAGAGCAGCATTGACAATGATTTAGCTTGATAGCCATGAATAATTTAATTCTATGTAATAACGTGTGGGCATGTGGAGGAGGCAGCGTTGGATGAGAAGGAGGGAGAATGGACGTGTGAATTAGGGAAAGGTGTCTCTTCCTTGGGAGCGTAGATGGGTTCAAAGCCAACCTCATACTACTAAGTATTTGGCTGGACAATACCAGATGTCTGTGAAGCCTGTGTGTGTGAGTGTGTGTGTGTGTGTGGGTGGGTGTGTGTGTGTTTCTGTCTCCAGACCTGAGCAACAAATACTTCTTCCTGTGGTAGCATGTTACTCAGAAACTTGGATAACCCCCAGCCCTCCTAAAAACACAATACATGTATGTTTTAAGACATTTATCTTGATGATTGGTAAGAGGGTGGTGAATGAAACCAGCTAATTTCCCATTTACCACTGAGGCCTGTTGAGCAATGCTCAAGAGGGTTCTTGACTCTGACTTTCTAGCAGGAGCTCCTAACTTAATCAAGCCTTTTCAAGAGCTTCAAGTAAAAAGGTAAGATATCTCAGGTTAGACCCAATGTTAAAATTTGAACCAGGCAAATTCTCATTACAGACAAGGGACCAAAGGCTGTGTCGATGGAATCTAATGCCTTTTCATGTTGACTTCAATACAGTAAAGCTCTTGTAAAGCCACTGAACTGTAACATTGGGCCTGGGGGAGGCAGTGCACCCTCTGAAATTAGAGGTCCAAATATTTGGATTTCATTTCCAGCCCTGTGCCAGTCAGTCAGCCACTCACTTTCAAATGACAAGTCTTAGATGGGTGACTTTCTGTCTCTGTTTCTCAATTTCTGCACAGGGATTTCTGTGGGCCTTTAGGCCCACTGGGAACCAATCCCTTTTCCAGCTCATTGCCTGGTTTGTTGAGTATACTTGTCAATCTGGACTTTCATACATCTATGGTTTTGGATTATCTCTGCTACTTCTTCTAGAAATTAACAGAGAAAATTGACAGTTGATTGACGAGAATCAGAATCCGTTCTAAAAAATTCAAATATAACTGAATCCTTTATTACTAAAAGAATGCTCAACTCAAGTGGACACAGATCACTCATTTTGACTTCATTAGCTATGGCACTGTGAGACAACTTTTGAAAATACATAGCTAAAACTTTCCAAGTTTTAATTGCTAGACCAGTTTTTCAGAATACACAGCTAAAACGGTCCCTGACTTAAGTGCTAAAAGCACTTAAGACAGGGACCGTTTTAGCTGTGTATTTTGAAAAAGTTGTGTGCTCTCCAAATAAAAAGCTACTTTTGTTGTTATTTTTGGTTCCCAGGAGAAATGGGAGTCCTTTCCAGACAGCATGGGAGACACATGGGTCCTTCGGAGTCCTCTTGACTGCCTCTGAGGGTGCAATGAGGGCGTGAGGCACTTTAGGAGGTGTCCAGACACACAGGTAGGCTTGCTACAGGGCAGAGCTTCATCCTGGTGGTGTAGGCCCTGTCATCATGAGCCATATCTGAACGAATTAATAACATTTCATATGCAAGCATGCTCTCTGTTTGACTGTGCTATTGTATTTAATCAGAGCAGTATAGACAATGATTGAACTTGATAGCCATGAATAATTTCGTTCTATGTAATAACGTGTGGGCTTGAGGAGGAGGCAGCATTGGATGAGAAGGAGGGAGAATGGACGTGTGAATTAGGGAAAGGTGTCTCTCCCTTTGGAGCAAAGATGGGTTCAAAGCTCACCTCATACTACTAAGTATTTGGCTGGACACTACCAGATGTGTGTGAAGCCTGTGTGTGTGAGTGTGTGTGTCTGTCGGTTTGTCTGTGTTTCTGTCTCCAGACCTGAGCAGGAAATCCTTCTTCCTGTGGTAGCATGTTACTCAGAACCTTGGATAACCCACAACCCTACTAAAAACACAATACATGTATGTTTCAAGACATGTATCTTGATGATTGGTGAGAGGGTGGTGATTGAAACCAGCTCATTTCCCATTTACCAATGAGGCCTGCTCAGCTTTGCTCAAGAGGGTTCTTGACTCTTACTTTGTAGCAGGAGCTACTAAGTAAATCAAGCATTTTCAAGAGTTTCAGGTGGAAAGGAAAGATATCACAGGTTAGACCCAATGACAAAATTTGAACGAGGCAAATTCTCATTAGAGACAAGGGATCAAAGACAGTGCTGATGAAATCTAATGCCTTTGATGTTGCCTTCAATCCAGTAAAGCTCTTGTGAAGCCATTTAACTGTAACATTGGGTGTGGGGGATGCAGTGCACCCTCTGAAATTAGAGGTTCGAAGGTTTGGATGATTTCCAGATCTGTGCCAGACAGTCAGCCACTCAATTTCAAGTGACAAGCCTTAGTAATAAAGGATTCAGTTATATTTGAATTCTTTAGAATGGATTTTCATTCTTGTCAATCAACTGTCAATTTTCTTAATTCGTGGCTATCAAGTTCAACCACTGTCAATGCTGCTCTGATTAAAAACAACAGCACAGTCAAACAGTTAACATACTTCCAAATGAAATGTGATTAATTCATTCAGGCATGGCTCAAGATGACAAGGACCACACCATCACGATGGAACTCTGCTCTCTAGCTAGCAATCTTGTGCGTCTGAACGCCTCCCAAAGTGCTTCACGCCCTCATTGCACTCTCAGAGGCAGACTAGAGGACTCTGAAGGACTCATGTGTCTCCCATGCTGACTGGAAAGAACTCCCATTTCTCCTGGGGACCAAAAGTAACAACCAAAGTAGCTTTCCATTTGGAGAGTGCACAACTTTTTCAAAATACACAGCTAAAACGCACAACTTTTTCAAAATACACAGCTAAAACGGTCCCTGCTTTAAGTGCTAAAGCAGGGACCGTTTTAGCTGGGTATTCTGAAAAATGTGTCTAGCACTTAAAGCTCGGACAGTTTTAGCTGCGTATTTTCAAAAAGTTGTCTCTCAGTGCCATAGCTAATGAATGAGTGATCTGTGTCCACTTGAGTTGAGCATTCTTTTAGTAATAAAGGATGCAGTTATATTTGAATTCTTTAGAATGGATTCTCATTCTTGTCAATTAACTGTCAATTTTCTCTGGTAATTTCTAGGAGAGGTAACACAGTTAATCCGAAACCATAGGTGTATGAAAGTCCAGATTGACAAGTATACTCAAAAACCAGGAACTGAGCTGGAAAAGGGATTGTTTCCCAGTGGGCCTTATGGCCCACAGCAATCCCTGTGCAGAAATTGAGAAACAGAGACAGAAAGTAACCCGCCTCATGCTTGTCACTTGAAAGTGAGTGGCTGAGTGACTGGCACCGGGCTGGAAATCAAATCTAAATCTTCGGATCTCTCTTTCAGAGGGTGCACTGCCTCCCACAGGCCCAATGTTAAAGTTAAATGGCTTCACAAGAGCATGACTGGATGGAAGTCAACATCAAAAGACATTAGATTCCATCGGCACCATCTTTGGTCCCTTGTCTCTAATGAGAATTTGCCCGGTTCAAATTTTAACATTGGGTCTAACCTGAGATATCTTGCCTTTCTACCTGAAACTCTTGAAAAGGCTTGATTCACTTAGGAGCTCCTGCTACAAAGTAAGAGTCAAGAACCCTCTTGAGCAAAGCTGAGCAGGCCTCAGTGGTACATGGGAAATGAGCTAGTTTCAATCACCACGCTCTCACCAATCATCAACATAAATGTCTTAAAACATATGTGTATTGCGATTTTAGGAGGGCTGGGGATTATCCAAGGTTCGGAGTAACATGCTACCACAGGAAGAAGCATCTGCTGCTCAGATCTGGAGACAGAAACACAGACACACCCTCACTCACACACACAAACACACACAGACACTCACATACACAGGCTTCACACACAACTGGTAGTGTCCAGCCAAATACTTAGTAGTATGAGGTGGGCTTTGAACCCATCCATGCTCCAAAGGGAGAGACACCTTTCCCTAATTCACACGTCCATTCTCCCTCCTTCTCATCCAATGCTGCCTCCTCCTCAAGCCCACACGTTATTACGTAGAATGAAATGATTCATGGCTATCAAGTTAAAGCATTGTGGATGCTGCTCTGATTCAAAACAACAGCATAGTCAAACGGAGAACATGCTTGCATATGAAATGTGATTAATTCGTTCAGACATGGCTCCTGATGACAAGGAGCACACTGCCAGGATGAAGCTCTGCTCTGTAGCAAGCCTACCTGTGTGTCTAGACACCTCCCAAAGTGCTTCACGCCCTCATTGCACCCTCAGAGGCAAAGAAGAGGACTCTGAAAGACTCATGTGTCTCCCATACTGTCTGAAAAGGACTCCCATTTCTCCTGGGGACCAAAAGTAACAACAAAAGTAGCTTTTTATTTGGAGAGCACACAACTTTTTCATAATACACAGCTAAAACTGTCCCTGCTTTAAGTGCTAAATATCTGTATCACGGGTATATGGAAAGAAATGAAGGTGAGGGTATTCACAAATGGGAAAAAAAGAAAGATGAAAATATTTTTTTCTTTTTTTTTTGGTGTTAAATACATTTATTGTAAACAGACACAAAAATAGGTTCTCTAGGCCATTCACATTCACATTAAAACCAAAAGTTGCAAACTACAACAATGCATATAATTATACAAATGATGCCAGCTCTGTGATGTTTACAGGATTGCTGTCCATGCAAGGTGATCAGAGGCATTATTTATGAAGCCTTAAGATCCAGAAGTGTTGTTACTACCAAACCTCTGACTAACACTGTGAAGTAAGCGTTTTGGAAGGCAGGTCCATGAGTTGGCTAACATTTCTTTAAAACAAATAACTGCTTCTAAACTTAGCCATATAGGAGATTTTGGTTGAACTGAAAATATTAGTATTTCATTACTGTGTGCAGCTCTGTGATGGACAAGCAGGTTGTTGGCACATCCTCCAAAAACAATTATTCTCCTTCATCACTGGCACAAGCTGTGTGCCATAACCTTGGTTTTTCAGCATATGGATGATTAAACTGTATCCATTCATTTTTACTGATGCAGTAAGTCCAGGCATCACTTAGTGGCTGTTTATCAGTGGTAAATCCTCCAAGGAGAAAAAGATGATCTGAAGAAACTGGTGTTAGTGAGTGCCAAGATCGGCCAACTGGGCATATGCCTTGTGGAATTAATTCATTCCACTCCCTTGTATCCAGATTAAGATAGTGAAGATCATTCATTCTAGCATCTCGGCATCTGCCTCCAAACACAAAGCCTTTGTTTCGGATAGTTGCGCAGGCATGGGCAGCACGATGTGAAGGTGCTTTACCAGTAGTTATAGGCTGGCTCCAGGTAAAAGTTTCAGTTTCTAAAATATGTACATGATCATTCCATCCTCTTGGATGACTGGAATTCCAAAAAGATGTTTCATCTTTTTTTTTTTTTTTGACTTTGGACAAATTTATTAGCCAAAACTCTGGGGAATTGCTAAGGATAGGCTGTGTTTTGCTACAATAAAAAAAACACAGTTCCAAAAATTGCAGGGCTTAACACAGGAAAGGTTAGTGTTCATTTGCATAAAGGGTGATGCTGCTCTGGGAGACTCTCCTCGATGCCGTGACTCAGGGCTCGTGCCTGCCTCCATCTCATGGCTGTACATCATGGCCTCCTCCATGGTCACCCAGTCAATGAAGAGAAACTGGATGCTTGTGTGAGTCCCTCCTTGAGGCTTGGAAGTTTATCTTTCTTTCCTATTTGATTGGACACAACTAATCCTGCAGACCTGGGTGCTGGGCGCCTTCGTCTGCAAGTTCACCCACTACTTCTTCACCGTGTCCATGCTGGTCAGCATCTCCACGCTGGCCGCGATGTCCGTGGACCGCTAAGTGGCCATCTTGCACTTGCGGCGCTCCTCCTCGCTCAGGGTGTCCCGCAACGCGCTGCTGGACGTGGGCTGCATCTGGGCACTGTCCATCGCCATGGCCTCGCCCGTGGCCTACCACCAGGGCCTCCTCTACCCGCGCGCCGGCAACCAGACCTTCTGCTGGGAGCAGTGGCCCGACCCTCACCACAAGAAGACCTACGTGGTGTGCACCTTCGTCTTCGGCTACCTGCTGCCGCTCCTGCGCATCAGCTTCTGCTAAGCCAAGGTGCGGAGCGGGGGCGGCGGGCGGGGGGCCGTGCCGCGCAAGGGAGGGCCGACGGGCGGGGGTGGGGGATGCTGGGGGTCTCAGGGCCCGTGGCTCTGCCGGAGCCGTGTCCTCGCCCTGGGCGGTGCTGGGGGAATCTGGGCGGAGAGGTTCCCTGGCCTCTGCTGGAGCATGCCATTGGCTTGCACAAGAAAGTTACTTGGAGTCTGAGACGTGCTGGGGAAAATTTGCGGTTCACTGGGTCTGGTAGAACAAGTTTCTCCTCCCCTCCCTGCCCTTCCTCACCACGGCTGCCCTTCAACTCCCCCAGATTGCCAGGGCGTTGTGCGGGCGAGGCTGTACCCTTCCCAGCACCGCTCCTTTCCAGTGACTCTAAACCACTTCAGCTGCGTGGGGAAGTGACTCGCCGCGGGGCTGTGGGACTTGAGATGGCTCGTGGTCACCGGAGCGCTGGCCTTTCACAGGAGAGGCGGGTCCCCACCGCCCCACCCAGGCTCCCAGCAGCCGTGGGGGTGACTCGCGGGCGACCCCTCTCCCCGTGGAGTGCAGTTCGCCCTCGCTCCGATCCTTAATGCCTCCCATCCTTAGTGCCTCGCTGTTAAGGATCCTGTGTGAACAAATAGCTTGTGATACCTGTCATCTCCAGAGAGTAGTGATCAAAAACATTTCCCCAGCTGATGCTTATCAGAACCTCTGCCTAGCTCTTCAAGGTCACAAGACTGTAACACATCTAAGACTTCGAGGCAGTGCCCAGAATAATACGCTTCCTGCACTGTGTGAGGTCCTGAGGCACCCAAAATGTAACCTGCAGTATCTTGGGTTGGTGTCTTGTTCTGCTACCACTCAGCAGTGGGCTGATCTCTCCCTGGCCCTTGAAGTCAACCAGTCACTAATATACATAAACCTCTCCAACAGTGAGCTCCTGGATGAGGGTGCCAAGTTGCTGTACACAACTTTGAAACACCCAAAGTGCCTCCTGCAGAGGTTGTCGTTGGAAAACTGTCACCTTACGGAAGCCATTTGCAAGGACCTGGCTGCCGTTTTGGTTGTCAGCCAGGAGCTGATGCACCTGTGCTTGGCCAAGAACCCCCCTCAGTGATACAGGGGTGAAGTTTCTGTGTGAGGGCTTGAGTTACCCTGAGTGTAAACTACAGACCCTGGTGCTGTGGAACTGTGACATAACCAGCAAAGGCTGCTGTCACCTCGCAAAGCTTCTCCACGAAAAATCAAGCCTAATGAACTTGGATCTCGGGCAGAATGACATAAGAGTTCCTGGAGTGCAATGCCTATGTGAGGCTTTGAAGAAACCACTGCGTAACTTGAAACGTCTGTGGTTGTGGGGATGTTCCATCCCTCCAGCCAGTTGTGAGAACTTCTGCTGTGTCCTCAGCTGCAACCAGACCCTCATCACTCTGGACCTGGGCCAGAATCCCTTAGGGTATAGTGGAGTAAAATTGCTGTTTGAAACCTTGACACGTGCAAATGGCACCCTCCAGACACTCAGGTTGAAAATAGATGACTTCACTGATGAACTCGATAAGCTGCTGAAAGAAGTAGAAGGCAGCAACCCACAACTGACTATTGACGCTGAGAATCAAGAGCGCTGGAAAAAAAGGTCTTCTTCTGGCTAATTCATTGTCTGAATCCCCCGCCACCAGAGTCATTCATTCTCAATGAAGCCAAGGATTTTCCAGGTGTCGGTGAACTGCCTGTGACTCCCCCTCACCCCACCCCCACTCCTCGGGGAAATGAGTTGATTTCTGGGCTAGATGTTTTAGTCATGGTTCTGCCTCTGTTTTGGGTAGAACGTGCATATGTCGTTGACCTTGTTATGTATGAAATATCTGTATCACGGGTATATGGAGAGAAATAAAGGTGAGAGCATTCACAAATGAAAAAAAAAAAAAAAGACGAAAAAAAAGACGGGTGGAGTCCTCAGCCAGATTCTTCCAGAATCACCTTGATAAAAGAAGTATTGAAATCAAGCACAGCAGGTTGGACTATAGGGAAATTGGCAGCATATTTCTTCAAGTGTGATTTTACTTTCTTCCTGAGCATGGCCATCTGACCTTCTTATTTCTGGGCTTGGCTCTAGACCCAGGACAGCGGATGTTTATGAGCATTCCTTTAAATGAAAGTGCTTAGGTTGTAGCTATGGCTTTGTCTAGAATAGCGATATCAACTGTGAGTGTAGGTCTATCACAAAAAAAAATTTTAACTTTCCAGATATAGAAGGATGCTACCTTGCATAGATTTGCTCATTAAATATAAATTGCAAAAATAAAAATAGCACAAAGAACACCTATACTTTGCTTATTGAAAGATTTGCTCACTGAAGAAGGAAAGTTGTCATTTACCTATGTAACAAATCTGCACATGTTCCCCAGAATGTAAAATAAAAAATAAAAATCTTAAAAAAAATTAATATCACACACAGGCTTCACACACAACTGGTAGTGTCCAGCCAAATAATTAGTAGTATGGGGTGGGCTCTGAACCCATCCATGCTCCAAAGGAAGAGACACCTTTCCTAATCCACACGTCCATTCTCCCTCCTTCTCATCCAACGCTGCCTCCTCCTCAAGCCCACATGTTATTACGTAGAACTAAATTATTCATGACTATCAAGTTAAAGCATCGTTGATGCTGCTCTGATTAAAAACAACAGCACAGTCAAACGGAAAGCATGCTTGCATATGAAATGTGATTAATTCGTTCAGACATGGCTCATGATGACAAGGAGCACACCCCAAGGGTGAAGCTCTGCTCTGTAGCAAGCCTACCTGTGTGTCTGGACACCTCCCAAAGTGCTTCACACCCTCATTGCACCCTCAGAGGTAGACAAGAGGACTCCGAAGGACTCATGTGTCTCCCATGCTGTCTGAAAAGGACTCCCATTTCTCCTGGGGACCAAAAGTAACAACAAAAATAGCTTTTTATTTGGAGAGCACACAACTTTTTCAGAATACAGAGCTAAAACAGTCCCTGCTTTTACTGCTGTATTCTGAAAAACGTGTAGCACTTAAGGCTCGGAGAGTTTTAGCTGTGTATGTTCAAAGAGTGTTCTTCAGTGGCATAGCTAATGAAGTTAAATGGCTTCAAGAGAGCTTTACTGGACTGAAGTCAATATGAAAAGACATTAGATTCCATGGGCACAGTCTTTGGTCCCTTGTTTCTAATAAGAATATGCCTGGTTCAAATTTTAACATTGGGTCTAACCTGGGATATCTTGCCTTTCCACCAGAAACTCTTGTAAAGGCTTGATTAACATGTACCCTACAAAGATCATTAACCTGTAGTTTTCTATGGCTGCATAGTATTCCATGGTGTTTATGTGTCACACTTTACCTGTCGAGTCTATCGTTGATGGGCATTTGGTTTGGTTCCAAGTCTTTGCTATTGTAAACAGTGCTGCAAAGAACATTCGTGTGCATGTGTCCTTATAATAGAAAGATTTATAATCCTTTGGATATATAGCCAGTAATGGGATTGCTGGGTCAAATGGAATTTCTATTTCTGGGTCCTTGGGGAATTGGCACACTGTCTTCCACAATGGTTGAACTAACTTGCACTCCCACCAACAGTGTAAAAATGTTCCTATTTCTCCGCATCCTCGCCAGCATCTGTTGTCTCTAGATGTTTTAACAATTGTGATTCTAACTGGTGTGACATGGTATCTCAATGTAGTTTTGATTTGCATTTCTCTAGTGCAGTCTATTTTTAACATAGTTTGTTTTTTCCTCAAAAAGTTAAAACTCCTGAAGGCACGATGGCTAATGCCTATAATCACAGCACACTGGGAGACCGAGTCAGGTGGGTCACATGAGTACGGGAGTTAAAATCTAGCCAGGATGACACAGCAAAACCCAATCTCTACCAGAAATACAAAATTAGCCTGGCACCGTAGCAATCACCTGTAATCCCAGTTACATGGGAGGCTGAGACAGGGGAATTGCTTCAGCCCAGAATGTGGAGGCTGCAGTAAGTTGAGAACACACCACTGCACTCCAGTCTAGGAGACAGCACAAGACCTCATCTCAAAGAGGAAAGGCCGAACATGGTGACTCACACCTGTAATCCCACCACTTTGAGAGGTGGAGGCGGAAGGATCACTGGACATCAGCTGTTAAAGACTACCTTGGCCAACGTGGCAAAACCCAGTCTCTACTAAAAATATGAAAATTAACCCGGGGTGGTGGCATGCACCTGTAATCGCAGCTATTTCGGAGGCTGAGGCAGGAGAATTGCTTGAACCCAAGATACTGAGGTTCCAGTGAGCTGATATCAGGCCGCTGCACTCCAGCCTGGCCAACAGAGGCAAGATCCCACCTCAAAAAAAATAAAATAAAGAAAGAAAGAAAGAAAAGGAAACCGAAATGCCTGGGACTGGAGGAGTGTGGTGGCTCACGCCTATAATCCAGCATTGTGGGAGACTGAGATGAGCACGTATGTAAGGTTGGGAGTTTGAGACCAGCCTTACCAACATGGAGATACCTCGTCTCTACTGAAAATACAAAAATTAGCTGGGCATGGTGGCGCCCACCTGAGGCAGAGGAATCACTTGAACTCGGGAGGTGGAAGGTGGAGTAAGCCAAGACTGCGCTAGTACACTCCCGGCCTGGGTGTCAGAGAGAGACTTTGTCTCCAAAAGAAAAAATACATATACGTAAACTTAGCTGGGCATGTTTACAGGAGCCTGTAACCTCAGCTACTCAAAAGGTGAGACACAACAGTCATGTGAAACCAAGAGTGGGAGGTTGCAGTGAGCCGAGATTGCACTACTGCACTCTAGCCTGGGCAAAAGAGCAAGACTGCATCTCAAATAAAAATGAAAGTGAAAAGACAACACACAGTGCATTATGTATCTAACAACAGTCTGTTAACCACAGTGCATAATTTGCTGACTCAACAACACAAACAATCAAATTACAAAATCTAAAAACAGGTGAACACACATTTCGACACTATGACATGCAAATGGAAAACAAGCACATAACAGGATGATCAATATCATTTTCATTATGGCAATCTACATGGAAACCACAATGATAAACTCCTTTAACATGCACTCAAAATGCCATAATCCAAAGAAATATAAAATAGCAAGTGTAGGCAAGGTCAGAGAGAAATCACAACACTTAAATACTGTATGGGGAACAGAAATGGTGCATCCTGTGTTTAACATAGTTTGGTAATTCCTCAAAAAGAAAAAAACTGGCTGGGCACATCAGTTGATATAATCAACTGTAATCCCAGCACATTGGGAGGATGAGGCAGGTGCATCACGTGACTACAGGAGTTCAACACCAGCAAGGACGACATAGCAAAGCCACCTCTCTACTGGAAATACAAAAATTAGCCAGTTCATGGTGGCAAACAGCTGTAGTCCCAGCTACTTGGGAGGCCGAAATGGGAGGACTGTTTGAGCCCACAGCGTGGAGGTCACAGGAACCCAAGATCACAACCCTGCACTCCAGCTTAGGCGACAGCACAGGACCCTGTCTCAAAAAAGAAAGCACGGGCATGGTGGTTCACGTCTGTAATCCCAGCACTTTGGGAGGCTGAGACAGACAAATCATTTAATGTTAGGAGTTCAAGAGCAGCTTGGCCAATATGGAAACACCCGTCTCTACTAAAAGTATGAAAACTACCTGGGCTTGCTATCATGCACTTGGAATCCCAGCTACTTGGGAGGCTGAGGCAGGAGAACTGCTTGAACCCAGAAGGCGGAGGCTGCAGTAAGCCGATATCAAGCCACTGCACCCCAGCCTGTCTGACACAGCAGGATCCCATCTGAAAATGAAAAAAAGAAAGAAAACCAAAATGCCTGGGAGTGAAAGGGTGCAGTAGCTCACGCCTGTTATCCCAGCAATCTGGGAGGAGGAGGCGATCAGAGCACCTCACGTTAGCAGTTTGAGACTAGCCTGACCAACATGATGAATACGTGTCTCTACTGTAAATACAAAAATTAGCAGGGCATAGTGGCATATGCCTGTAATCTCAGCTCCACAGCTGTCTGAGGAAGGAAGATCACTTCAACCCGGGAAATGAAGTTTGCAGTGAGCTGAGATGGTGTAACTGCACTCGAGCCTGGGTGACAGAGCAAGACTCCGTCACAAAAATAAATGAAAAAATACAAAACATTAGCTGGGGATGGTGGTGGGAGACTGTAATCCTAGCTACTTGGTAGGCTGAGGCAAGAGAATCATTTGAAACCAGGAGGTAGAGATTGCCGTGAGCCGAGAACATACCGCTGCACTCCATCCTGGGAAAAAGAGCTAGAGTCCGTCCATTTCAAAAAAAAAAAAAAAAGTGAAAACAGAACCCACAGAAAGGAAAAAAATATTTGAGCATTATATATCTAACAGTCTGTTAACCACAATGTGTAATTTATATAACTCAAAAACAAAAACAAAAAAATTACAAAACAGAGAAACAGCTGAACATACACTCCACCAATAAGACATCCAAACGGAAAACGAGCACATAAAAGGTGAATAATATCATCATCATGATGGCCGTCTGAACTGAATGACATACTCAGTGTCATACTCAATGTCATACACAATGACATACACAATGACATACACACACTTTGCCAATGCAAATGGAAAACAAGCCCACAAAAAGATGACCACTATCATTATCATTATGGCCACCTAAACTGAAACCACAATATACTTACTCAAATACACCAGAATGCCTATAATCCCAGAAATGTAAATTAACAAGTGTTGG